CTTTTCTGTTTGGACTAGGAAGACCATTGGGGAAACCTTGCATCTAGGGCTCTTCCTAGACTGACCTCGGATCATTGGCCAATTGTGATATGCAAAGAGGAGAGAAAGAATGGAGGCCCTGCCCCTTTTAGGTTTGAGAATATGTGGTTGCTCCATCCTAGTTTTACTACAAGAATTAAGGATTGGTGGAGTGATTGTAACCAAGGTTCAAAGTATCGATACAATACGAGTTTCGGTCATATCGTATCGGTACTTAGAAACAGCCGGAACTTTATTTTTTTTTAGTTTTTTTTTTTTCACATTTTGGTTTTTTGGGAAGCTTTTAGCATACTTTTTATTATTAAAAAAATTGGGGGTCCGAAACACTTGGAAACCGACATTTTAGATTGTATCTTTTTCAAAAGATACGATACGATATGCCCCGTATTGGGCGTATCGTATCGATACTTTGAACCATGATTGTAACCCAGATGTGGATTGGGAAGGCATGAAATTTTATAAGAAGCTCCAGTTTCTGAAAGCTAAGTTCAAGGTGTGAAATCAATTGGAATTCAGGAGATTAAAAGAAAGGAATAGTACATTGATGGATCAAATTGAGTTCCTTGACTTGAAAGAAGAAATGGGTGAGCTTGGAGAAGTAGATAAGGAACAAAGAAGGGGCTTAAGAAGTCAATTAGAGGAGTGCCTACTTAAGGAGGAAATAAATTGGAGGCAAAAATCTCACTGCAAATGGCTGCAAGAGGGAGATAGAGATACTAGATTCTTTCATTTTGTGGCAAATGGTAGGGAAAGGAAAAGCATGACCTCAAGACTGGAAGTTGATGGTGTTGCTCTAACACAACAAAATGAAATAGCAAAGGCATTTGTCGAACACTTTAAGTCCATTCTAAGAAGGCCATTCAGGGGGGGGGGGGGTAATGGCTTGAAGGTTTGGATTGGCTAAATGTAGGGGAGGATAATAGGCGGAGGTTGGAAAGAAAGTTTGAGCTAGATGAGATTAAGGAGGCTGTGTTTTGTATGGACAGAACAAAACCTCTAGGCCCAGATGGTTTTACAATGGCCTTCTATCAAGATTGTTGGGAGATCGTGAAAGGTGACCTTCTTCTAGTGTTTGAGGATATTTATAGAAGTGTGATCAATCCGGGGTTGAATTCCACTTTTCTAGCATTTGTCCCTAAGAAGAAAGATGCTTTCCATCCTAAGGACTGTAGGCCAATTAATTTGATAAATAGCTTGTATAAGATCATTGCAAAGGTTGTCTCTGAGGTTAAAGGAAGTATTGCTAACAATAATCTCTCTAAATCAAGGAGCTTTTGTGAGTGGTAGGCAGATTACTAATTAGATCCTGATTGCCAATGAGAGCATGGAGAACTTTCGGAAGAACAGGAAGAAGGGAGTAGTTTGTAAGCTGGATTTGGAAAAGGCTTATGACTTGGTGGAATGGTCATTCTTATTGAAAGTTGTCCAATTTTGGGTTCGAGACTAGATGGTGTAAATGGATCTTGGGGTGTGTTTAGAACGTTCATTATTCTATGTTAGTGAATGCGATAATGGTGGGTTTTTTTCTGGTTGTTAGGGGAATAAGACAGGGTGACCCCCTTTCTCCTTTCCTGTTCACTATGGTTGTTGATGTTCTAGGGAGGTTGATTCATAGAACAGATTCTAGGGGACTTGTTAGAGGTTGGAGAATAGGGAGGGAGGATATTCCTCTTACCCACTTACAGTTTGTAGATGATACAATCCTGTTTTGTGAAAGTGGGAATTTAAATTATATCATGAATTTGAAGTTGGCAATACAACTATTTAAACAAATGTCCAACTTAAAGGTGAATTTTGAAAAAAGTTCTATTGTGAGTGTAAACTTGGAAGAGGGTGAGATCAGGGAAAATGCAGAAATTCTGGGTTGTGAAGTCTCAAGTTGGCCATTGAATTATCTAGGGATGCTTTTGGGTGATGACCCAAAGGAGAGTTTTTGGACTCCGTTGTTGGAAGGATTTGAAAAAAGACTTGCCTCTTGGAAGAAGAATTATCTCTCCCTTGGTGGGAGGATTACACTGATTAAGGCTACTTTAGCTAATTTGCCCATTTACTTCCTCTTAGTGTTCAAAATTCCTACAAGGGTTTCTAGCAGGTTGGAGAAGATGATGAAAGATTTCTTTGGGAGCCGGGAGAAGATAAAAGAGACTATAGGGTGAGTTGGGAGGTGGTGACCGGAAGTAAAATCCTTAGTGGATTGGGGCTTGGGAACATTAGGAAAATGAATATGGCTCTTTTGGGGAAATAGTTATAGAGGCTCCCAATAGAAAAGGAGGGCTAGAATTGTGGTGAGCATACATGGGATGGAGAAAAATGGATGGGATGTAGGGATCCGAGCAAGGACCACAAGTACGTCACCATGGAAAGCCATTCACAACTTGCTTCCTTCTTTTTCCCATCTCATCAAGTATGATCTGAACTTTGGTACTTCCATAAAATTCTAGGAACAAACTTAGGTGGGGAATGCCCCTCTTAAGGATTTATTTCCTTCTATGTATGCCCTCTCTGATTTAAAAAATGAGCCAGTTTCTTCCTTTATCACCCCTTCGCCTTCCTCTTTTGGGTTTTGTTTTGGAATTTGGGTTTGAGAAGAGTTGTGAGAGATACTGACTTGGGCTGTATCTTGAGCCTCCTAGGTATCCTTAATAATGTTTTCATGGACCATTTTAAGTTGGATTCTAGAATTTGGACCCCCACTCCCATTGGTTCATTTTCTTGTGCCTCTTTTTTCAAAGTCCTAAGTCAACCTCCTAGTCCTGTTGGCCCTCCCTTCCCGGTTAAAGAGGTTTGGTGCAGACCTATTCCCCCTAGAGTTAGTAGTTTTTGTTGAGAAGCCTATTTGGAAAGAATCAACACTGGTGATCTGTTCCAAAAGAAAAGACCCAAGACTTGTTTATCCCCTTACTGGTGTATTCTTTGTAAGCGGAGGGGGAGACTGGTTTTCACCTATTGGTGACTTGCCAGTTTGCTAAGTCCATTTGGGGGTGGGCTCTTTCCCTTTTTGGGTGTAGCTGGAATCCTCCTTCAAATTTGCAAAGCCTCTTCTCCCCTTCTTTCTTCAGGTGCCGTTGGAAAAGGGAAGGACCATGTGGAGATGTTTGAGGGTTGTAGTTTATTGGGCCCTATGGGAGGAAAGGAATTCCAAAATCTTTTTTGAGGTACAAAAAAGTATTGAAGAACTGAGATTTGATTCACTTAAGGGTTGCTCAGTGGCTGAAATCGTCTGAGCTGTTTACAGATTTCACAGTGGTTGATTTATTGAGGAAGTGGAGTGATATTGCCAACTGCACCCAATCCAAAGCAATCTTGTGTGCGTCCTGGACTCCCCCACCGGCTGGCTTCTTAAAACTGAACTTCGATGGAAGCAATAGGGGGAATCCTAGACAATCGGGGATTGAAGGTGTGTTTAGGGATGAGAATGGGCTTGTCATTGCCATGTTCTTTGGCCCAATTGGGGTGGGTGACTCTCTCAGGACTGAAATACTTGCAGTTTTGGAAGAAATTCAAAGAGCCAAGGAAATGAATATAAGAAAACTCTTCATTGAAGGGAATTCAGAGGTAGTGGTAGGGTGACTGAATAAAGAAAATAGCAGTCTATAGATGTACAATAATGAGAGGAGAAAGTCTAGGTGGCTGATTCAGGAGATGGAAGTTAAGGCCAGTTGGGTGAATAGGTCAACTAACTCCTTTGCAGATGGATTAGCTAAACAAGAAGTCATAAAGGAAACAATGTTTTGGGCACAAGTGTAATTTTTCGTTTTTGTTCTTGGGAGTGTTTTGCTCCCTTTGGAAGATAAGAAAGTTTATCTTCCTCTCTGTAATTCTTTTATGATTAAGTAATGAAATATTGTTATTGAAAAAAAAAATAGAATATGTTGCAATTGGAAGTACAGGGTGCCTATTTGTCACTACCCCAAAGTATTGGGTAGTGGTACCTATCTTTAAGTTACCCCAAAATGTAATATCTAAGGGTAATTTCAGGATTAAAACCTTGAATGTTTACTTCCAAAGGTAGAGCAAGATGGATCAATTGCTAGAAACGAACCTTTTTAACTCGCATTTATTCCATCTTTTAGTCTCCTTTCCATAACAATTCAGTTTCTTTACTTTGCAATTAAAAACAACTCAAGTCATTAGCCATAGCAGCTCCGTAGCTAGGACAATGGGTTGTTTAGTAGAGCCTGAACGGACCTAGCAAAGATTCCATGTAGCAAATTGGTTTGGGGATAAACAGATGTCCCCAAGCTCCTCTCATCCTAACATATTTTGGTTCTAAGCTAATTTCGCTTTCATATGCAAATTTTAAATTAAAAAAAGAGGGCTATAATTAATTGATCGAACAAAGCTCCAATCCCAGGTTGAAATAGGCTGATATAAACTGCCAAATTCAATAAATGGCCAAATCATTTCTCCTTCTAACTTGATTGACCAAAAAGATTTTTACACCTGGACAACAAATCATTTCTCAAGTCATTAGCCATAGCAGCTCCGTAGCTAGGACAATGGGTTGTTTAGTAGAGCCTGAACGGACCTAGCAAAGATTCCATGTAGCAAATTGGTTTGGGGATAAACAGATGTCCCCAAGCTCCTCTCATCCTAACATATTTTGGTTCTAAGCTAATTTCGCTTTCATATGCAAATTTTAAATTAAAAAAAGAGGGCTATAATTAATTGATCGAACAAAGCTCCAATCCCAGGTTGAAATAGGCTGATATAAACTGCCAAATTCAATAAATGGCCAAATCATTTCTCCTTCTAACTTGATTTTTACACCAATTAACGAATGGTCTGGATTGACCAAAAAGATTTTTACACCTGGACAACAAATCATTTCTCCTTCTAACTTGCACGTCTCCCTCAACACTAGTCATCTCCACTCATCTCTACTTCACCCAACCACAATTTCACCCTTTACTTCTATGTTTCATATTCCTATTTTGATGTTTCTCTTGGTCGGTTATTGGTAAAAGAACAGAATACCTTCATGAAAACCATTTACACTGTCAGATAAGATCCAAAACAACTCTCTTCTTCCATAAGGGGGAATCATGATTTTCCCCCTGCTTTTGGGCGGTGGGTGAGATCACAGAAGGGAACGTTTCCCTGCTCTATTTACTCATCCAACTATTGTACTTTTATGATACATTATTGTTTGCTTTTCTCTAGTCCTTTGTACATATCACACAAGTGGTAAAATGTAGAATACCAGAACATACCAGCGTTTCCTTGGAAGAGAATTCCTGGATAACTGGACAAGCAATCAAGAATTGAACATAGGATAACTCATTCTCGCTTGTCCTCCTCTGGATCTTCTCCAAGCCCAAACACATGATGATCTACCGCAGTGGATGCCTTCCTTTCCTTTCTCTCTACTTTGGTTGCCATATCTCCAGCCACCTTTACCCCGCTGCTCACTAGCGATAAGCTCTCTTCATCCAGGTCATCACCAGTCTCCTCAGAGTAGGCATATCTACTAGGAACAAAAAGACAGAGACCATTAGAGTATCATCTAGATCTACAATTGAATTTATGCAGAATGAAATCTGGACTTTCCAATAAATGATCAAATTGACAACTTTTTATTCATCACAAAATAAACAACAGAAATTGGATTACAATGCAAATAAAAAGGGCATTATCCAATGTTGGCAGTATTTTTTTTTATCATTCCAATGTTGTATCTAATAATACAGGGAAATGAAAACATACCTACCATAGCTGGAAAACTAAAATCAACTCAGCCAAATCATTGAGTAATAATTTGGGCTGTCCTGGCCCCTACTAGGTTAGGTTTTAGGAGATGCTAAGACTTGACCAAGTCACTCTGGGTCTTTGTCAAGCTTGATGAATCGGGCCTTTTGGTGGGGAGGGGGGTTGGGGTTTGAAAAGTGAATCAGGCAAATTAGCAAAATAAGCCTTTGTAAAGAAAAAAACTGGTATTATCTCTGGAAATCATCATTCATTATCTTATCCACCCTCAAGCTATACATTATAGTTAAGGATGCATGGGTGATGAAAAGCCAGAAGAGGACATGAAACAGCTATTGTGTCTAATAATGGGTTTTAGGGTTCCATCAAAAAACTGCAACTGCTGTGTTATAGACAGAAATAGTGAAGGTCAGATGATGGATCTTAAGCCAAAACAATTAGATCAATAGATCCACCACGATTTTAATAGCAGAAACCTGGGCTGCTAGAGAACACCATGTCTCAGATCAGGATCTGGGCCACAAATTGATCTGGATCAAAGAGGACTCAAAGTTCATCATTTATTACCTCAACCAAGGGGGCACACCTCTGGAGAATTCAAGTCAAATTTGCTCACACCCTTAGGGAAGTGAATCAGACTACAGGCTGGATGATGGACTGTGGACATAGGGGTTTAAGTTTAGATATTTCAAGAACAGACAATAGGAGGGGGAACCAGCTTATATCGTTGAGATGGATATTTAAGGACAGGCTACCTTCTGCTTGAAGAGGTGTGCCTTGGCCATGATTTCCTCTTGGATGCTAGCTAATAAAACTTTTACAGGTGTCAGCCATGGAGACCTGGACAGAAATCTGTTGGCAATCCTTTGTTCTTTCCCTTTGGCCCCCCATCCTAGTTACCTCTCCCCTAGGCCTGAAAGCAGCTTTATTCTTCAGTTTGATGGCAGCATTAGAGGTTTGGTTGATCCCTCCCTGAAGGCTGGGGTTGGGGGAGTAACAGGAGTTATCCTGAACTATGATGGGAGCCTGCAGTAGGCTTTCAGTGGCCCTATTTCAGCTTCAGATGCCTCTGATTCTGAGGTCCAAGCCCACTTTACAGGCATGCCCATTGCTGTGTCCTTCCATGATACCTCTCTTTTGGTGGAAGGTGACTCAAGGAATGTGATTCAATGGTCCAAAAACAAAGGGACTGGGTCCTTGGAGGCTTGCCCACTTCCTTTGTGAATTTTATGAATTAAACAAAAATTGCAGATTCCTAAGCAAAATTGAGTCAGGCAGGGATTGGTTGCATGGTGCAAATATCCTAACCTATTTCTTGATAAGACTGCTGCTTTTTGTTTTTTGCCCTATCCTCTTGTGCATAAACTCATGTACATCCCTTCCTCTTTCTGAATGGAAGTTACCTACACACACACACAAAAAGAAAAAGGAAAAAAAAATAATAATAAAACTACTGAAGAAGTATGAAACCAGACTGTTGTTTACTTGTTTCATCATCATCATCTAAGCCTTATTATGGGGTCAGCTACAATGCTACATGTGTCCTGTTTCACCATTCCATTCTGTTAAAATGCCATATCCATTGTCAAAGTTAAACTATGAGCAATTAAACAATTTCTTACTACTTTGATCCATGCCCCTTTTGGTCTGCCCCTAGACCTTCTAGCCCCTTCAACTTGTAAGTTGTAACTGATCACATTTTCTTACTGGTGCTGTAGGTGGTCTTCCATGCACATGACCAAACCATCTAAGTCTACTTTTTCTCATTTTATCACCTATTGGAGCTACTCTTAGGTTCCTTCAAATGACTTCATTTCTGACCTTATCCTTCCTAGTTTTCCCACCCATTCATTTCAGCATACACATTTCTGCCACACTCATTTTTTTGATGGATATTCTGCCACACTCATTTTGTGTACATGTTGTTTCTTGACTGCCCAACACTCTACTCTATACCATCTGTTGTTTCCCTAAGGCAATTCAGCCCATCCAAGCATCAAAGAAATCTGTAATCTTCACAATGCACTATCACATCTGCATTCTACAGTCTCCTCTAAGATTTGAAGGAAGCCAAAATCACAAACTCTAAGATGATTGACATTCTTTTCTTTGATGTAATGGAGGAGCTTATCAACATTTTTGAGCATGCAAAACAATGATAGAGCATATCAGCCAAGATGTAAGCATAGAGAATATGCAGCATCAGGGGACCTAGGACCAGAATGCCCCCTCCCTTTTACTTATGGTCATAAAATAAGAAACACTAAAACAAATTGTTTTGCACTGAAAGAAATGAGAGATTTTTCTCAGACAAATATAGAGATACTGATGTCCTGATCAGGTTTGCTGTGGAGAAAGTGGTTTCTTGGGTTTCTGGGACCTGTAGCTTTGTCCTGTGCAGGGGCTGTCTCTTGACTCTCTTCTGGCCCTGAGCCTCAGTTATACTACTATTTCTGGCCCTGAGCCTACATGGTATTGACTACATGAATCTTGTTTTGCAATTCTGTTCTGCTTAGTGTCCAATCAATTGTTAAACTCTGAGCACTTAAATCGTTTCTTACTACCCCATGCCCTTTTTAGTCTGCCCCCTTCCAGTCCCTTCACCTTGCAGTGAAGAAAAAAAATTCCAGGATCCATGACCTTAGGCAAAGTTTTAATGTCAGCTGCCAACCTGACACAACCCTCCTCGTTTATCCAGGCTTGGGGGACCAGCAGTGTAAGACAAGCTCACACTGGTTGAGTTCTTTTTGACTTTAATAATGGTAATAAAAAAACCTTATCCCAACTATATGCTAATTGTATTGGCTCTTATGTAACATACCATCATCATCTAAACCTTATCCCAACTATATGGGTTCAGCCATTCAGCTACCCGAATCCTGTTTCACCATATACTGGAAAATAAATTATCTTGACCTTATGCTAATGGTACTAGCTTTTATGTAACATATCATCATCATCATCATCTAAGACTTATCCCAACTGTATGAGGTCAGCTACATGAATCCTGTTTCGCCATATGCACGAAAATAAATTATCTTGACCTGTTTTTGACTTGCAAAATGATTCATGAACTAATTCGTTTTGAGTTTAGTTGTGCTAAATCTGACAAGGTTTATGTAGCATGCAGTGTGAACATGTACATAAACCAGATTTGGAAAGAAGAATACACACATGAACACGAGCGGTTTTCTAGTTTGATCTAGTAAAGGGCAACCATGAAGGCACGAAGTAATAGTTTCATAAGATCATAGAATTTGGCTCTTCTTTGAGTGTGTAAGACTCATGGATGGATCACAATTAATAGTATGTTTAAGATGTATTCCAAACTAGGTCTGGAATAACATGCATACATATGAATGTAGGTGACTTTTTGGTTGACCTTGTTTGGTCGAGTCTGCTCAAATCATAAAAGGATCTAGCATTTAAGATTAAAAAGTGGCTTAGCTGAATGGGGGATTCGGATCATTACCGGATCTATTAATGACTTTATATATTACTGGGTGTTTTGTTATTTATCATCCATGTTACAGGTTTTTGTGATAGTGGCATACTTTTGAGACAACTGCTGGCTGACCCATGGATGCTAGACATTATGACACCCTTGGCAAAAACATATAAGGCAGCTAGACTTTGATCTTTATTTATCACACCTACGTAAACATGGCCATAAAACCCATTGCTGAAAACATTAGTTCTATGACCATGATAAAAATACCTTTTTTTATTGGAAACAACATCTTTCGTTAATGAAACATTTAAAGGAGTAGACTGTCACCACCCAAACAAGGGTATTGACCCCAAGAGATTTATTTTAAGATTATAAAACAGCTCAAAACAAGTTGTCCCTGAAGGTTCCTTGCTTTGCCAAAGTATCGGCTATTCCATTTGCTGATCTCCTTGATAATCATGGCCCATGGTTATCAATATTCCCATGTATTGAACTGCAATATCATGGCCCATGGTCATAAGCCTTTTGTGTATGTAAGTCAGTATCATCATGCTTTCCAGGTAGGCAACTATAAGAGTTGCTCATTGAACATTATCTATGTTTTAGGCACATTTAAGATTTTAAGTACATTAATATGACACCCTTGTTTGACCAGCCAAATCCCTCACAGCAATAGAAGAGGCACAATTATCAAAAACAGCATATACAGCAAATAGTAGAGAAGTTATAAGAAAGAGAAAACGGAAGAAAATTTCAGAAAGTACCTGGTTGGATTGTGTGAAGGAGCCCAAAGGACACATATCACTGCCAGAAGAAAGTAAGCAAGAAGAGTCCAGAAAGCTGGGATGATCCAAGCTCTTTGCCAAAGCTCACTTAATGGGTCAGTTGCATTGAAGTACAGCTGCTCCAACAACAATTCCAAGAAGCTCCAGTAAAAAGTATCAAATGACAATGGATTTCTACTAGATACTAGATGATGCCTTACAAATAGCATATACAATAAGGTACAACTGTCTTTCCAAAGATTTGAAAATGATAGGTGCACAAAATGGCTAATCACAACCAAGTACAATACAAATCACTTAAGTTCCCAAATTGTCTGAGAAGCTAGATATCGTTAGCCTTATTCTTTGGATGGAGGATATTTCTGAGAACAGATTTTTTTTTTTTTTTTTTTCTTTTGGCATCATATAGATTTCATCTTGGTTAAAAGAATCAATGCATGCACTTGAAAAATATCTGATAAGCAGAGCAATAAAAAGAATCTACCTCATAGCCGATCCAAACAATAGAGAGCAGCACAGAGACTGCAAGGGAATTGGTAAATTTTCGGTAAAGCTCAAGTTTAGCCAAGCTTCTCCGCACCTGTCAATGAATCAGAAGAAGTGTCACTTTAGATGAAGGAATTTGAAATTCCTAAATGAGTGAATCTATGAAAGCAAGCATTATAGATCACCCCATTGGAAAGGGAATAGAACATCTTTCATGGTTTCACCATGAACTTTCTATTAACTACTACTATACTTTCTAGACTTTGCACTTGCACTGCACTCTTAGGGCATGTTCGTTTGCTCTGAAGTCTGACATCTGAAAATGCAATAATTACATTAAGAGGTATATTGGTATTGGTGAACTTTTCTTTTCTCTGAACTCTGAATGCAGAGAATGTTGTTCTGAATTCTGAATTCTGAAAATTATCAAATATCCATTTTGACCCCATATATGAGAGTTTTTGTTTGCCTTTTTGGAGCTATCATTGGAAAACAAAATGTTGTATGATTGCACTTTAAGAGATAAGAGATAAGAGGAAATGAACAACCATTTTTCTCTTAAAGTTAAACGATTCCTCTTAAGAGATAAGAGTTAAGAGGAAACGAACAGGCCCTTACTGTACCGACTTTGATGATACATAATGTACTGTTTGAAAACATGCAAAACATGCAAAAAAACATATTTCAAAAGAAAATGTCATGAAGGGTTTATCAGATAAAACTTAACCAGTATATAGTTACTGAATATTAAAAAAACAAAGAGAGAGAGAACACTTAAATCAAACATATGTATGATATTCTTTTCATGCATCAGTCGGGGTAGACCAAAAAGGACATGGGTAGTAGTAAGAAATGATTTAAGCATTAATAATTTAACAGTGTATATGGCTTTAAATAAAATAGATTGGCAAAACAGGATTCATCATGCAAACCCCATATAGTTGGGATAAGACATGGATGATGATGATGATGAATGTAAGCATGTATTTATATGGGATAGCATGGGCAGGATTGACAGGGCATGACATCTTTCATTTGCATATATCACACAATTTATTACCTGAAGCTTTTCTAGAGTTTTAGACAATGATGAGAAGGTCCAGAGAATAAAGCAGGCATCCAAGAGAGCAACAGGAAGAACCAGAAACAGCTTTGCCTTTCCAGAAAAATCATTGATGTTTCCCAAGTGTTCCACAAGCTCAAGTGCCTCAGAAGCAACAAAATATATCAAGCCAAGGAGGAGTACTTTTGAGGTTATTCCACCTAGGGTTGGACGCACCACACCATAGCCCATTGAGACTACCAAAAGCAGGAGGCGAGATACAGTTTTCTTGACAGCAGTAAAGGTTACTGCCCATAGGGTGATGCCCATAGGTCTGCTCCCAGTAGAATTGAAATTTGCATACTCAAAATACCAGAAAGCCATTTCACACATCCCTAGAGCAATCACTGCTGTGATGTGGTAGTGCAACTGTAATATATCTTTCCAAAACCGGACAAACTGGAGAAACCAGATGAGACCAAGTACTAGATATGCTAAAGACATGAAGCCGAAGAATGTCATTAATGGTGCCATCTTTCCTGGTAGATAACCTTCTGGGTTTCTCCAGACTGTTCTTCCTTTAATTAGTGTTCCCTTCAGTTGTGGATCACAAAACATAAAATACAGATAATACATACCAGTACTGTTTATTTCAACAGTTTCAATATCCATTTTAGCTTCTTCTTCTTTTCCATTAAAGAAGGTCTGAATGCGTCTTGGCCAACCGGGGTTTTCTGGATTTTTGTGGATAATTACTTCCCCCACTGTGCAAGACCCATCCTTAGCAAGCTCTGGGCTGCAACAAATTGAATCAGAATTTAGATAAGATCCTCCGATCCTCTCCCTGTCTTTGATTTCAACTATTATAGCTTCCACCAATCCTGTCTTTTGCTGCATATCATTCTGTTTAGCAGTTGACTCCTTTGTCCTCCGGAAGACGACAGACTCGAACCTGAATTTAAATTTATGAACTGATATTCAATATGAAAGTAGATAACTAACAAAACCTTGTAAAATGCACCAATTCTATTTGGAGGCTAGAGTTTAGTTGGAGAATTATCAGTGGTAACAGCATACAATCAGAGAATAGTAAACCAATTGCTCAGATAAAATTTCATGCAATGACAATAACCATCTGATTTACCTTCTAAAATCCATCTCCGTACAAATTCAGCACTTGCTTTTATGTTCTTTGTATAGATGGTATTTTCTGACCATAATCCTAAAGAAAAAGAACTAATTTTCGGTTGAGTTATGCAATGACCATGTGTTATTTTTCGAAGATATAGTGGTAATAAAATAGACTGCAAGACTGAAATGTCCAACGAATATATGTTTCTTAGAAGAAGACTAATGCAAGATTTGGGAAGAGGATTATTTGAATACAGAGTGTATTTCCATTAACACTATCTCTTAGAAAAAAAATGTCCAGATTATTAGAAGTGCTGAAAGTATGAAAAAGAAAAAAAATACGAAAAGGAAATCCCTTCTGGACAAAATAGTGAAACTAAGTTGTAATGGTGAGTTGAGAATAGACATCACAACCCCAAACACGACCAAATTCCAGGAAAACTAAGGCTGCATTTAGCATTCCTTATTTTAAGGACTTATCTCCTTTTTGCAGTTAAAAAGCCCCTATGAATATTGAGTTTTTAACTGCAAAAGGAGATAAGTTCTTAAAATAAGGAATGCCAAATGCAGCATAAATGGGACTTCAAAATGTAACTTCTTCTCCATTGCCCTCAACAATTCAAAAGCCTGATTACTGTAGAATAATCGGTCCTGATGGCAATGTTGGACTCGTAAAGTCGACTTTTTTATTCCAGATAATGCTATATGGAAGAAGATGACATACATAATTTTATTTTAACTTTTTATGCCATCTAGTAATAATTTGTTGAAGAATAAGGTCTGCAATCATATCTTTCCAGATTTATTGTTCATGCTCAAATCAATATTTTGGGAAGTATTTGCTGATCGACCTCATCAGGTGCCGGGATTCCATAATTAATGAAAATTTTTTGGTCAGCACATAATTACTGAAAAATCAAAAATCTTAACAAAGGAAGTAGATCAGAGCATCGAGTGCAGGGACAGTGCGAGGCAAACTACAACGTTACGTTTAAAAGGTCAAGTTGCTTAATTCAAGTTACTAGGATGGGCAGAAGAAATCAAAAAAGGGGAAAAAACTTTAATAAGACGGATCAATCCAATTTTGCTTCCTGATTATATCGACCAAAAAATGAAAAAATGCAGACAGAAGTGAAAACATGAAGAGAAAGAAAGGAATAGATTAAAGCAATCCGATCAGGTCAATGCGGGGGGGATGGAAAACTAACCGAATGAAGGACTTGCCGTTGTAGGGTTTATCTTCAGAAGTGGCTTTGTCGTGAACCTTGGAAGCGTAAAGACCCTCACTACCTCCATGGAAGAAGAAGGAATTGGACTGAGAAGCAAAAGCCTCGTTCCTGTACTCATGGATCGAAGCTCCGACATGGAGTAGAGAGTGGAAGAGAAACAAAAGGCCTAGAAAAAACCCTAGCGGAACCATATTTTCATCAGCTAAAGAGATTCTTGGCCTTGGGCAATGCATCCAATCTTCTTCTCCGTGTGTGAAAGTGAAACCTCAAGAGTCAAGGCTCGAACCTTCTTCCTTCCTGAATCCACTGAAATTTATTAACTAGGAGTAGTGCCGTGGGCCGTGGCTTGCCATGTAAGATTATTATTAGGTCCGTCCGTTCGCTGCCATTCTGCCAAGAGGCGGATGGTGCTAGATTCACGGTCCTGGCCGTCACGGGTCTTTTATTACAAAAGGACAAAAGCTTAACTTGTTGATTTTGCACGAAAACCCACATTTATGTTTTGTCCTCTTGTGATGAACTATTTCACGTATCCGTGGGCCGTAATGAAAAACGGAAAAAAGTCGTCGACTTTGCAGTTTGCATTCCACAGTTTCCACTTGCAGGGATTGGTCAAACAGGAGACTTTCTAGTTACCAGAATACCCTACTTTTTACTTTTTTACTTTTTTACTTCCTACTCGCTCGCTTTGTGATTGTGAGACTCATTTGTAAAAAATGATACACGTGTCAACATCAGGGAGTTTTTCTATTCTAGTGGGCTAGTGGGGGCCGTGGGGGTTGGGGAGGGCACAAATCTTATGGCAAAAAAACCCACTGGGCCAGTGGGGATGGAGTGTGAGCCCAAGGATTCAGATTATGATAAAACGTAGATAGAAGGCCAAATGGTTGACTTGAAAGAAATCCATTGACCGTTCAAACCTTGGCGTTGAAGTTGCCCAAGCCTAGCTTATGGACTAAGAAGGTTTTCCCTTTTCAAATACTAAAACTCATCTTGAAGTTTTTGAACACAGATGCCTAGGTCATGTTGGGAGACATTTAACATTTTAGAGCACTTCCTTACTTCATTTAATACAATATATAAAACTTTCACCTTCCCACTAGATCCATCATTTAGTTCTTTAGAGTTTAGTATAAGCCCATTTGGCAAGTTATTTTGAGAAGATCTTTTTGTAGTTTTGACAATTAAAAGACGCATTGAGCTTTTGACATAAGATCTGGGTAGTCTAAAAATCATTTGGCAGATGCATGTCTTTCCGTGTGTCTTTTCGTGCGAAAATAAAACCCTGAAGACGTGAAAAGCTTCATTTGAAACTTTTCGAAATCAGTCCAAAATCGGCTTTTCACGTCTTTTCGACATTCGGGCTTTTGGCGGCTAGATCTTCTATGCATAGACCGATTTTCAGTCTTTGCAGCTTGTAAACAGTCAAAAGACATGCCAAACGGAGCCTATATTAGATGGGGATTTGACCAGTTATATATATATCCAAACTAATGATAAGCACATTAGTTTGGAAAAATTCATCTCCCCATTCTGTATTCGTAGAAATCACCTTGTTGAGTCTGTAAAAGAAGACAATTTTTACAGGAAGTCTTATATTGTTTCTATGGCTAATATTATAGTTGTGATTTGTGAAAACTAAAGATATAACTTACAAGGTATATGGGCTATGGGATTGAACACATAGTCAATCTAGTTTGTCCCCTAGTTGATGGGCAGTTTGGATCAGCCGCGAATTCCCTCATGTGGCAGAAATAGGTGGGTTTACTTGTGGAACTTCTTACATCTCTCTAGATTTTATTATAGGCTGTGTTTGGTTGCAATGCAAATAAATTTGCACTGCTGCAAAACTATTACAGTGCAAATGATTTGAGTGTAAATTCTGACATATTTTTGTTTTAAATTTTAACTTATTTTATTGGATTGCAGTGCAAATGAAGTATATTAATACATGAAATAGAACAAAGTTAAACCTAAAACAAAATTAAATGAGAATTTGCATTTTTTCCATTTACATTCCCATGCATTTGTACTAGTGCAAATAAATTTGCACTGCAACTAAACACAGCCATAACAAAACTTAAATTAAGGTGGTGTTCTATAATAATCATAATCACATCTAGACCTTATCCCAATTATATGGGCTGATTACATAAATCTTGTTTTGTCATTCTGCTATATTCAGTGTTATATCCATCATTAAATTATGGCCACCTAAATAATTTCATATTACTTTCAATCAAGTCCTTTTCGGTTTATCCCTAATTCTTCTAGCCCCTTCAACTTGTAACGAATTATTTTTTTGAATAGATATTAAAGAAGATAGTCTTCTATGAATATGACCAATATACCTGTTAATGTGACCAAAACCATAATTTAATCGGGACTGGAAAGGCCATCAGTTCCTGGTTTTCATGGCCGACCGTCTGGTCTCGGCTGAGTAAACATTGATTTGTAGTGATCAAATTAGATAGCTCTTACTTGGATTAGAGAGCAAAAACTAAAAGCAATCTCAATATGGATTTCCATTGGCTAGTCCCAATTTATCATTGTATATTGTATTCGACATGGTTTTGAAAACCGGATCGGAAATGGAACTACTTTGACCATGGGTTCCTGGATCAAATGGTCTGACTATTTGGTTTGATCCGGTTTTCAAAACCATGGTATTCGGTTTTTCTCTCCCTAAACAAGGCTAATATCATTTAATCCTCCCTTTACCTTTTAAATTTCTTTTTATTATCTAATTCAGTTAGTAGGTGTTTAACATCAATGCCGTTTCTTTGAAAAAATGACGCCACATCAGCACCACATCTGAAATCTATGTTTCTAGAAAAACGCCTAATGTTTGATTATTGGCTTTTTCGAAAAGTGTTTTCTTAGACCATATCTTAAAAATCAGAAAAGGTGTGGTCAAAACACCATTTTGGGTGTTTTCTTTTTTCTTTTTTTTTTTTATTATTGCTAGTAATACTATACTGACAATCATAACATTGAAAAACACCTATGTGACCACAATAGCAATGATACCGAATAGAAAACCTGAAAAACATTTTCTAAGAAAATAGCATGTAGATGCAATGCCGTTTTCTGAGAAAACATCTCTCAGGAAACGACATTGGTTCCAAGCATGTTAAAAGCATGCTTTTGTTAGTAGCAAATCCCGACACCCTGATTTTTTTTCCCATTCTCCTTTTACTATTTATTTGCTAAATTTAAGAGGTCAATCTGTTATTAGCATAAATTTAATGCTCCTGTTACACAATTGAATTGATAGTGAAGTCATGGGGACTAATTTTTCCAAAAAGATGATTAATTGACTTTGAAGAAAAATCAATAGAAAATTTCTACTTGACCTCTTTTGTGATTTACAAAAACAGAGATAAGAAAAAAGAATAAAAGAAAGCGGTGAAGAGTGAGAGGAAGCAAAACTGGTCCACTAATGGAAAAATGATACCTGAAAGGTTTTGACGAATCAAACCCCTGTAAAATTTTGATGAAAATCCACATGATTGGTTGGTCATTAGTTTTTCTCGCATCACCCCCAACTCTTTTATAAAAGAAAAACTTTGTTTTGTATTATTTTCTTTTCTGTAAATTTTTTTTCCTAATCAAATGCAGTGCAGATGGAGGTGTAAATCCGGCTGCATGCAGCCCGTGTAAAGTGCAAGTCATGCCGTGCCAGTCAGTGGACCGTGCTTCTCTCCTTTGGGATATTTTGGGGGATCGGCCCAGCATAGCCCACATACCAAGTGAATGTGGAATCAAGTTCTTTCTTGTAGAGGCATTCAATGGCCACATCTCTGAAGTAGCTATTAGGTTGGAACCTATGGCAAATGGTGTAGGGATATTTGGCCGACCCACGGATCTTGACATGTGGCGCCGGTCGGATGCATCTTGGCCATCCATCATCAATCACTGCCAACCACTGCCAACCACCGCCACCTGCTCCCAACTACCCCTCTTCTAAGACAATTCCGACTATAAAAGGGGCTCCCACATTGAGGTAAACACACATAGACTTAAGCTCTAAGTTTCCTCTCATGCTTGGTCCGACCCCTCACAGCTTTCGGCTAACTTGATCGTCAGAGTCTTCGCCCCTAGGGTAACTCCCAAGGCCTCTAACGTCTTCTTTCTCTTAGCAGGGTTAGACCCGTCAGCCTCAGACACCAGAAATTACGTTGTTGCCCTCGACTCCGTATTTGGCAACAACAATTGGTGTCATCTATTGGAAACATCTTCAAAACTTTCCCCTAAGAAAAACAAATCTAAACTAACCAACTAGTGTCTTCGAAATGGCTGACAAGAATGACACCATTCCCATTGTTCAGAACTTAGTTACAATTAACCAGTTCAAACTAGTCCTAAACAGGCTAGACAACCTGGCCCAACGGTTGGACAATATAGGGCATTCGGTAGGAGGCCACCTACAAGGTGGTTTCTCCGTCGGAAGCCACGAACAACACGACAGCACCGCACCTCTCCCCCACTAGTTTTTGACCTCCACAACCTTTTCAACGATCGTCGTGCTCACGAGAATCAGGATGTGTTGGCACCCAAGCACTCCGGGAATAGGGCCAACCTGTCTTGCGTGAGAGAGAATCAGGACCAGACCGAAGTGACGATACCTTACATCGACCAGCACCTTGGAGATATTTAGGCGCAAATTGGTGCCATTCAAGATCAACTTCGACAAGTAAAGGAAGGTCGAGGTGATGCCTTCGCTAGTTGCCATGCCTCATTCACCCAGATGAAGGCCTTCATGGATTCCATCATCTCCGAGCCCTTCATGCCGAATTTTAAGGCCCCTATGCTGGAGACCTATGATGGGAGTACAAACCCCGAGGACCACCTAGAAACTTCTAGGCCTTCATGCTCCTATACGGATACTTCGACGCCCTCATGTGCCGAGCCTTCTAGACCACATTCAAGGAAGCATCACACCAATGGTTCTCAACTTTGCCTCCACACTCCATTGGCTCTTGGGAACAATTCATAGACCTCTTCCTAGGTCACTTTGTGAGTAGTTGACGGTGTTAGAAAACCGTCATCTCCCTGATGTCCGTCAAGTAGAAGTGTAGGGAGAGCTTTCGGGCGTATATGAAGAGATTCAACGAAAAAGAACTCGAGGTCAAGGACCTTGACCCCTTAGTCTCCATGCACGTGGCCATCAGTGACCTCTGACCTAGACCCCTCACCTGGTCCATTTCCAAGACTAAAGCCAAGTTCTTGGAGAAAGATCAAAAGTACATCACCGTTGAGGAGGCCGAAACCAACAAACACCTCCAAGATTCGGAAGTAATGCCTAGTGACAAGAAGAGGAAGGAAAATGATGGCTATG